AGAGAGAGAGAGAGAGAGAGAGAGAGAGAGAGAGAGAGGGAGTTTTCCAGCCATGCACGTAGAGAGATAGGGGCTCGCCACACAGGCTTTCGAACGTGCAGAATCGACGCCATGTCTTCGCCACACGGCCTTTCAAAACAAGTTCTTTCAAAAAAGTTTTGAAAGATGTCAGATTGGCCGGCGTCGAAAGTCATTTCAAAAAGATGAGATCCTCCTGCCTATCACACGAGCGTTTCCTCAAAAGACCTCGAGTGGTCTTGTGAAAAGGCCCACTCAAAACGGTCGATTGGCAAAAAAAAAAAAAAAAAAAAAAAGGGCGATTACAAGGGACTGGCTCCAATACTCTGGACATCCACAAAAGACAAAAATTATGGTGGTGTATCTTTCCATGTTCTAGCCAAAGATTCACACTCGTTTTACACGCATCGAGAGCAGTGGAGCCAGGCCCTAATGTGCATATATAGAAAGGCCTCGGTGTTTCGAAAGTCTGTGTGGTGAGGAGGGGGGTTCCTTTCGGGGAGAAGCCTTTCGAAAAAAGTCTGACACCGTTCGGAAAATACCTTCATTCGAAAGGCTGCGTGGCGAGCCCCATAGAAGGAGGCTACTTCCATTGATAGGATGAGCAAAATTGGAATGAATCTTCCACTAGAATATGGAAATATACACTGCTGTCCAGCCATGCGCTCAGAGAGATAGAGAGAGGCTACGAGCAAAATTGGAATAAATCTTCCAACTAGAATATGGAAATATACACTGCTGTCCAATCATGCGCGCAGAGAGATAGAGAGAGGCTACTTCCATCCAGAGGGTTCTACCATCATGTCACATATATTGGTTTACAAACATAGAAACGCTGGACCCGATTTCCAGCAGGTGCAGCTCCCCACCAATAGATGGAGCCTTCGACACTGGAGCCTACTTACCGAGGATGCTCTTATCACCTCGTTAAGTAGGTTTCCTGTATACGAAATTAAAAAAAAAAAAAGGATGACCAAAATCAGAATGAATCTTCTGCTACAACATGGAAAATATACACTACCACTTCTTTAAAGTTTTTTTTCTTTTTGCTTTTTTTTTTTTTGTGTGTGTGTGAGAGAGAGAGAGACACACACACAGAGAGGGAGAGAGAACAGGTAAGTCTCCATATCTTTTTTGTCTTTTGTGCATTGAATACGAACATGCTAAAGCGTGCAGTGGATGGCCAGCACATCCACAGAATACACCACGAACAGAAGTATCGCGCATACAAACTGCGTATCTGCAAACGCACACGCACCAGCAAAGCACGAAGCGAAAAGCAACGCGGCAGAGCGAATGCACCGAATGCAAAGCACACTAGCAGGATCGAACAAACCTTTCGCGAACCCCAGGTATGAACAACTCACATCAGACCAACGGCTGTGTTAGAGGCCGGTAGAAAACTCTCCAAAACCCGTTTCACGACAATGCACATGGAAAAAAAGTTAAAAAACGCACGGCGGATGTAGCAGATTCTGCTGGGCCCGCGCCCCCTGTCCCGAGCCTTTTCCCAAGACAGGAATCCTGGCCAAGACTGGAAGCCTGGCCTGGCGGGACGGTTACGCCAGACCTGGCTTACACTTTAGTAAGAGTATATACAGAAAAAGAAACAAATGGTCGGATTACAGCTACTATGGGCCTAGCTCTTTTTTTTTCTTTTTTAAGTACATTGTTCCCTCATCTATCTCATCTTCTTGCCATATCTCATCCTCTCGCTAGTCTATGTATAGTACAGGGGAACACCAACCAACCCGGATCTCTCCCTAGCCCATGGGGTAGGTTGGCACCACAGCAGTGGTGCAAGAGCAAGGCTGTACCAGTCCCTCGTCACGGTGATGAGGGGTGGGCAGGCTGATGGGGAAAATCGGTGGTGGCCAGTCACTGCACCTCCCCCTATATCCCCTCAACCCCACATGGCGGTGTCTAATGGCCAATACTGTTGCTGCATTGCAACCAACAACATCAGCCAGGGTCCTGCCAATGCTGGCTTGGGGGGCCAACGGGTTATCTCTAGCTGGTAGAACACCAAGCTTGCCCTAGCCTGCGGGCCTAGCTCAGTTGGTAAGACACAGAAGTTGCATTCAGGAGGTTGTGGGTTCAATCCCCATTACCCTCACGTACTATGGGCCTAGCTCAGTTCGTACATCCATGACTGTGAAATACAAGACCCGAGTTCGAACCCCGATGCCACCAGATGACCAGAATAAAATCATTCTGAATTACCTGGGGTCGTTCAGTTCAATTATGATATCTCAAGGCCTTCGCCCTTCAAAAAAAAAATAAAAAATGACGGCCTTGGAAGTGACTTGCGGGCTGAGAGGCTAATAGGAGGACCTCCCCTGCGCCTTGTCCTCCCTAAGGCCCTCCTGATGTGTGACTGGGTGCTGCTAGTAAGCTTCCTGGCCATCAGATGGCCCCTAGGAAGGCTATGGTTTTGGGGGGGGCGGTGTCGGTTTGTAGCCATCCCCTCCTTGAGTAGGTGACTAGTACTGCAAGGACTGGGCTGACCCCTCTTCACTTTTCTTCTTCTGAGGCCATTCTGAATAAGCAACCGGACTGATGCCCCGCAGAATAGAAGGGGCTGGTGTGTTTTTGAAAGAAAAAAAAAAGGAAAAAAAAGAAAAAAAAGAAAAAAGAAAAAAAAAAAAGGAAGTGATTGCTGAAGAAAAACGGGTCATGGAATCCTCACTGTGTGCCCTATCTCACAGGAAACTGCACGAAATGTGTAGCAAGGAGGATCCCGATCGTAGTCATCAAGCCCTTCGTCCCCAGCAGCGGTGGCGATGGAGGTCGACTCCCCGATCTGGTCATGGTCTGAAGTTGGTCCAACCCCATGTCTTCCAGAGTCAAAAAGGGATGGTGACCGCTGTGTTCAGTCGACGGTCGAGGTAATGAACAGTTCATCTCAAGGTGTGAAAGAGGAGTTCCGGAAGACAGTCTACAGACATTTTCAGGACTTGCAGAGTCGTGACCTTGTGCCTAATGAGGCGGCGACACTTGCATTCAAGCTCGCATCTGGGGCAGTGGAAGAGCCACCCGACTTGACCTCTTTATTGGATTGCCTGTCCAAGGTGAAACTCACTGATCAGATGATGGGAGATGCTATCCACCTCATTGGTGCAACATTCTCGTCATTGGACACTCTGCACATGAGCTTCCTTCCAAAGCACAGCATCCAGAAAACGGAAGAAGAGAGTTCACAAAGGTGTGCAGAGAAGGTTTCTGCTCCAGCATTGGGGGTTGATTTCGTATCCCTGAGGGCAGTCTATGAAGCAGTTCTGGCCTTGGAAAGTCAACAGGTGGTTGATGCTCTGATGCTGTCAATAGACAAACTTCTTGCGGAGATGCGCCTGGCCATTGATGCGCTATCTTCTTCATCAGCAGCCGGTGGTACACAAATTGCAAGGCCAATTCTTTTTTTTTTTTTTTTTTTTTTTTGCAAGGCCAATTCTAATCATTCTTCAGAATCCGTTGTCGATGGAGCCTGAGCATCAACGCTTGTTGCACAAGATATGGCGTATCATCACTTCACCGCCTGCTCCTTGGCAGGAAAGTCTCATATGTGTGTTTGCCAGTTCTGCCCGAACAGAGTTCGAGCACATGGTTGCTGTGATACAGCAGTTCATTACAATCCATCTCTACAAAGCGCTTCAAATTGATGAACCAGTAGAGATGGCGACGAAGGTTTTGGCTCTTTTGGACAGTGCCAATGAAAGGAGTCGGATTGCAAAGCACGCAATTTTCTATAATGATGCAGTGAACAACGACGAGTTCAACATCAAGGAGGATTTCCGAAGATTCAAGCATCCAGAAAGGTACACTTTCTCATTCTGTAAGTACCCTTTCATTTATGACCCATCCAGCAAGAGCCTCTTGCTGCAGATGGAGTCACAGGAGTTGATGAACGAGGAGTTTGAGGGAGCAATCCTGCAATCAATCTTTGTGGAAGCGACATGCCCATACTTGGTCCTGACAGTGAGACGTTCACACCTCGTTCAAGACACGTTGGAACAGATTCAAGATTCCATCGATCTGAAAAAGAAGCTGAAGGTTAAGTTTTTGGGGGAGGAGGGTGTTGATGAGGGTGAGGTGCAGAAGGAGTTCTTTCAGTTGATAGTAAGGGACATTTTTTACCACGGGATGTTCACGTATGATGAGCAAACGCGCCTGTACTGGTTCAGCGCTGGAGACTCCATGGACTTGTTGTTCATGGAGTATGAGCTCATTGGGGTCATCATAGGGCTGGCCATGTACAATTGACACATATTAGAGTTCCGATTCCCGAATGTCGTTTACAAGAAGTTGATGGGGAAGCCTGTAACATTTGACGATCTCGTTGAGGTTGCGCCGGACTTGGCAATAGGTTTGAGCCAGATGCTCGGCTTTGAAGGGGATATAGAGGCAGTCTTTTGCAGGAGTTTCCAGGTGTCGGTGAGGGATGTGTTTGGTACCATTAAGACAGTGGACCTGAAGGAGAATGGTGGGAAGATTATGGTTACAAAGGAGAATAGGGAGGAGTAAGTGGACCTGTATTACCTGGAGAAGTCTATGGAATGGCCGTTTCAAGCGTTCATGAAAGGGTTCAAACTTCAAACGGCTATGTGGCTGCCGAGTTCTGCAGTTTTTCTGACCAGTGAGCTCGAGCAACTCATTTGTGGAATCCCGTACCTGGACTTCGCTGCCCTGGAAAGGGGAACAACATACGATTATGGGTACTCAAAGGACAGTCAGGTTATCTGCAACTTCTGGCAGGTGGTTCATTCGTTCTCGGAAGAACAGAAGAAGCGGCTGCTATTCTTTGCAACAGGAAGTGACAGAGCACCAATCAAAGGCCTTGCCAACCTGCCCTTTGTCATTTCCCGCAATGGTCCAGACTCTGATCGCCTGCCTATAGCTCACACTTGCTTCAACCATCTTTTGCTTCCGGAGTACCGCAGCGCAGAGAAGCTGAAGGAACGGCTGCTGATAGCAATCAACGACGCAGAAGGATTTGGGTTGATGTGATGAAGAGAGGCTGAAGAACTGTTTTGCAGCTGAGCTGCTTGCAGTGTCTGCTCGCCGCTCGCTCAATGGAATTAGTTCGAACACGGAAGGTCGATGGCGAAGCTCAACCTAGAACTTGAATGCCCCTGGGCAGCAAGCTCGCATTCATGGCTTAGGGTGTAGGGGAGATCTCTAGTCATTCCGTGTGGAGGTTGAGGTTGTTTCTGAAGACCTGTGTTAATCTCATGCCGTATTCAATCGTTTGCAAAGTCGCATGCACGGTTTAGGCCATTAGGGCTTGGGGGGAGACCTATAATCATCCATTTGGAGGTCTTTTCTGAACACGGGCCTTAGCAAATGCTTGCCTTGCTGGGTGGCTGGTGCGCATGCTGCTGACTGTCAATCTGCTGGGTGTGGACTTTTGTTCCATGGACGAGAATGCAATGTTGAGCTGAAATAGTGTTTGGTGGACGGGCAGTGGTGGACCAAACATATGAACATACGATGGATCTACAATGTACTTAGCGAGTCAGAGTTGGTTTATGACGGCTGCAGACTCTGCCCAGCATTGTGTTTGAGGAAGCACAAGAGCGACGCAGCGATTGGGGACCTTGCAGTTCACAGGGGTAGTTGCCGAGTGGCAGCTGTTGAAGTGTCTTGTTAGCTGATTGATGGTCCCTGTAAGACTGGCATTCAGCCCTCGGATGTCGTATTCCACAGGACATGCATCCCTTCTTAGCCACTCGTGCAACCTGCTTGGATGAAGATGCCATCCTGTGAAGTGCATCTTCTGTATCCTCCAGATTCTTTTGTCCCAGAACGTCACCATGTATTCTGAAGTGCCTGAGTGGACTTGGCAAAAGGGCGATGCTGCTGGGACAATCTCTGATTGTCCAACTTCTCCATTGCACATCTTGTCCTCCACAAGAGTAAAGCCTTGCATAATGTACTCATTTTCTTACATGAACAGTGTCCTCTCTTCTTTGTTCCTTTTGTGTGCCTCTCAACCATCCTCGAAACTTTGGGATGTCCGATCAAGTGTAATGACCCGCCCAAAACACAGACTGAGAACACTGCTGATTTCTGGGATTTGCCAATGGAATGAATGCCTTGCTGTGATTCCCGCATTCTGCTGTGGTCCCAAGTCTGTGTGTGTGCGTGCCTGCTGGATTGCATGCCTATCTGAGTGCTTGCCGGATGTGTGTGTGTGCGTGCCTGCTGGGTTGCATGCCTGTCTGAGTGCTTGCTGGTTGGGTATGTGTGTAACCCGCCAGGGTACTTGTCGGTTGCAAGGCCCACCGGGCCGGTACTCACCTGTGGCCGTGACTTTGGAGGGTTGCAGGGGGGTAAACATGCCGGTATCGGGGAGTAGGCCCACGGCACTTAGAGCAGCTGGGGAAAAACACTCAAGTAGCAGGTAGGCCGAGCAGAAGAAGACAAAAAGTTGGCATTTTTAG